AGGAGCAGGAGTGTGGGGTCCTGGAGTGGCCGGCTGGAAGTCCTGATCTGAACCCCATTGAGCATCTGTGGGCTCATCTTAAAAGGGAGCTGGGAAAGCATGAGACACCTCCCACTGGTATGGTGGACCTGTGGGAGCGTGTACAAGAGGAGTGGGAGAAGATCCCATCAGAGGTGTGCTCCAATTTGATCGACAGCATGCCCAGGAGGGTGAAAGCAGTGATTAGGGCTAAAGGGCGGTGGACCAGGTACTAGTTTAAGGGTTTTTCAAGTTGCTGCTTCCGCCTGGAAATAATTGTCCACATGCACCGTGTTTGGTTATGTTTGCTGTTTACTGTTAACGATAGTAGTTTCATCAAATGTGTAGCATTTTAATGTCTCCCTAGATTAGCCTGCATATAGTGGGTAATGCCTCCAATTAAGGCTTAATGTTCAAATGCCCTTTAACGGTGGAAATTCAAAAAATTGCCAAACATGTGGACAATTCTTTCCGTCAGTATAAGTCGGAAGCACACTAGAGTCATCAGCATACATCACATGCAGAGCAGAAACAATGGCATCTATGTTCAGATCAAAAATCTGAATCTTACGACTAAGCAAACTGTGCTAGTCCGGGAGGTCTGGCGACGGGCCGAAGCGCTGACGAAAGAGGTCGTCCAGGCGACGAAAACAGCGGGGAGTGGAGTGACCGATCTTACCGCAAACGAAGCCGCGGCGAGGACCGGTCTGGATCTGGTACTGACAACGCCCGCCGCCAGAGCCACCACTCGGCACACCACCACGCGCTCGGCCACCGCCAGTGCCGGGCCACCCGGGCGGGAGGACACTCGTCGGCCGCGGCTGCGACGGCTGCTGCGGCTGCTGTGAAGGCTGCGACTGCGGCGGCTGCTATGGCTGCTGCATTTGCGGGGGCGGCGGCGCAGCTGGACTGGGCAGGGTCCCCTCGTCCGCTCCAGCACCAGACGACCCGACCCCACCACTACCCCCTCCCGCACCCCCGCCGCCTCCTCCGCCGCGCCCAACCTTGGGGCGGCGGCCCTTCCCCGAACGAAACTGCGCTGCAGCAGCAGTCTCAGCCACTGCAGCAGAGCCGTCGGAGAAGGTACACTGAGCGGGGGCACAACCCTGAAAGATAGGGACCGGCACGACACCGCTCGCCTGGGCGATGGAGCGGTGACGGGTCTCTATCACAGTCAGGGTGTTTACAAAGTCAGTGAGGGTGAGGTCGGCGGGGTGAACGCTAAGGAAGCGGTCGCGGGCGACAGCAAGGCGGTCAGGGAGGCGGGTGGCAAGCAGATAAAGGGTAGAGGTAATGGGCGGCTGGTGGGCTCTAAGCTGTGCGTCACTGCAGGCAGCGCGCCAGGTCTCATCTATCGAGCGCAGGTGGGCAGCGAGGTCAGAGACAGTGGGGAAAGATGCAAGGTCAGGAAAGAGCAGCGGGAGGATCAAGCGACCCACCGAGGCAGCCGGAGGGGTGGAATAGCGCTTGATGACAGCATCTAAGTATGCCTGAGCAGTAGTGAGGGACCTAAAGCGAGGGCGCTCTGACGGGGGAAGGGCGTTGCTAATGGCAAGCTGGGCAACAGCATCGCGAGAAAGCCAGACAGAGCGCGCACGGGCAGTGGCAGCAGTAGACTCGCGCTCAGTGGGAGTGGAGTCAGCGGGCAAAATAGCAGGGGGGTCTGGGCAGGGGAGCGTACCGTCAAGGTGTGCGGAAAGCGGCTCACCATCCTGCCGCTGGCCAGTGAGTTGGCGGCGGAGGTCGGCAAGCCACGCCTCGAACTCCAGAGGCTGGCCTTCAGCGTCGAAGCGAAGCTCCGCCGCCATCAGGTACAGTGCAGCGCGGTGCAGGGCAGTGTAGCAAGGTGGAGTGCGGTACTGTGCTGTACAGTGCGGTGCAGTGCGGTGCCAGGCAGTACAGTGTGGTGCGGGGCGGTGCAGTGCGGGGCAGTACGGTGCAGGGTAGTGCAGGGCGGGGGGGGGGGGGAGAACCGTACCAGTGAGGAGGACCGGGGCCGGGGCAGAGACGAGCGCAGGGGCCGGGCCGGTGCAACGGGGCCGGGCGGGTGCGACGGGGCCGGGCGGGTGCGACGGGGCCGAGCTGGTGCGACGGGGCCGGGCGGGTGCGTCGGGGCCAGGCTGGTGCGACGGGGCCGGGCGGGCGCGACAGGGCCGGGCTGGTGCGACGGGGCCGGGCGGGTGACGGGGCCGGGCCGGTGCGACGGGGCCGGGCGAGCAGGACGGTGGCCCAGGAGGGGCGCGACGGGGCCAAGGAGGGGCGCACCGGGGCTGGGCGGGCGCGGCGGGGCCGGACGGGTGCGACGGGGCCTGGCGGCTGCGACGGGGCCGGGCAGGGGGCGACGGGGCCGGACGGGTGCGACGGGGCCGGGCGGGCGCAATGGGGCCGGGCTGGGGCGACGGGGCCGGGCGGGTGCGACGGGGCCGGAAGGCGTGACAGGGCCCAGGAGGGGGGCTCGACGCGGTCCAGGAGGGGCGCTACGGGGCCCAGGAGGGGCGTTACGGGGCCCAGGAGGGGCGGTACAGGGCCCAGGAGGGGCACGACAGGGCCCAGGAGGGGCCCAGGAGGGGCGTGACGAGACCCAGGAGGGGCACTACGGGACCCAGGAGGGGCACTACGGGGCCCAGGAGGGGCGCGACGGAACCCAGGAGGGGCGCTACGGGGTCCATGAGGGGCGCGACGGGGTCCCAGAGGGGCGCTACGGGGCCCAGGAGGGGCGCGACGGGGCCCAGGAGGGGCGCGACGGGGCCCAGGAGGGGCGCTACGGAGCCCAGGAGGGGCGCAACGGGGCCCAGGAAGGGCGCTACGGAGCCCAGGAGGGGCGCGACGGGGCCCAGGATGGGCGCTACGGAGCCCAGGAGGGGCGCGACGGGGCCCAGGAAGGGCGCTACGGAGCCCAGGAGGGGCGCGACGGGGCCCAGGATGGGCGCTACGGAGCCCAGGAGGGGCGCGACGGGGCCCAGGAGGGGCGCTACGAAGCCCAGGAGGGGCGCGACGGGGCCCAAGAGGGGCGCTACGGGGCCTAGGAGGGGCGCGACGGGGCCCAGAAGGGGCGCTACGGGGCCTAGGAGGGGCGCGACGGGGCCCAGGAGGGGCGCTACGGGGCCTAGGAGGGGCGCGACGGGGCCCAGAACGGGCGCTACGGGGCCTAGGAGGGGTGCGACGGGGCCCAGGAGGGGGGGCGCGACGGGGCCCAGGAGGGGCGCGACGGGGCTAGGGGGGGTCGCGACGGGGCTAGGGGGGCGAGCGGAAGCGGTAGGTGGGGGGGATCCTAACCTATGCGTGATACCATATCAGAATTAGTGAAGTGAATATTGGTAGAGTGAGAGTACACACAGATATACCTAAGTGTTGTACCCTCTAAGAGGCTACCCTATACAGTCTATACAAACATGACAAATACACATGTTTAACAGATAGGAGTTGCGATACCAGCTGTTATGAACTAATCAGAGTAATAACATGTAGTGTAATAAAGGGGTCGTGATTCAAGAATGTCGATACAAATGAGGGCCTGGGCATTCATAGGCACAAACAGAGCTAGCCGAGAACCACGCGAACATGTTGGGGCGGTCCGGTTGGCGAAAGCCACGGAAGCGCTGCGCGTCGAGGTTTGGGTTCGCGAAATGGTTCGGGACGAAAGAAGTTGGCCGAGCCTGAACTTCCGGGAGTCGAGGGCGTACACGCTGTAGTCGAGCCCAGTAAGGAAAGGGGAATTTCCTTACAGAACACCATCTAGGTTACTTCATTTTCACACCACAAATAGTTTGCTTTACCGTTCAATTGTAAACATTTGGCAGTGATTCTGTATAGTCGACGTGCTCTGATTTCTCGTTCGTGGCTCGCCGGCTGCGGCTTGTACGGCATCATGGCAGGTAGTCCCATAAGGGTGTTGACCCCCTTTGTACATACAGTAATCAGCATTTTGCCGAACCTACCCCCAACCTCCCCCCGCAACCCCCAAAGCAAACCCCGCTTCCTTGCCCAGAATGGGGGAACATTCTGCGCTCAGGGCAAGCCTTGATACAGGACTTCGGGGTTCCAGACCGAGATCGCCTCGCCACCCCATCAACAATGAAGTTCTGGCACCACCGACCAAAAATCCTCCGTATTCGGAAGTTCCTGCATTTGACACTTCCCTTTGAAGCCCTTACACCTCGTTAGAATCCTCATTTCTCTTCGGTAGAAACCTGAAATCAACACTATTCAACAAGGACGGCCCTCAGTGACGGCTCGACGATCCCGAGTCGCCCATGTCGACTCTGGATTGGCTGACTGGATGGAGGTGTAGTGGCGGGGGAGCTCAAAACTACCGTACCGTGCTCCCCCCTTGCAGTGCAGTGCAGACTCCAAATCAAGTCCCAGCCCAGCGGCTCCCCTCCCTCGTGCCACGCGCTGCCCCATTCCAACCAAGTCGCAGCCAGCAGGCTGGAAGTGTGATGTTGCGGTGTGTGCAGTGTGATGTGAACTGGACCGACCAACTTCCCGAGCCAAGCCCAGAAACCACACAGCTGCAACACACACTTCTCCGCTACGGTTACTCTCTCGCATCGCGACGTGTCGTGAGGGTTCACTTCACTGTCCGGTCAACAAACGGAAACTGGAGCGAGGGAGAGACACCACGCGCCACGCCATGGCCCATGGCACGCGTGCGAGTGACTGAGAGGCTGAGAGGCTGAGAGAGCCGGGCCACCACTGGTTCTTGGCAAGCCGAAGTAACTCGGTAGGTGGTAAGGAGGACGCGGTCCTCCTCCGCCTCTCTCGTCGTTACCCGATGCTAGGAGCTTCTCCCCTCGCGCGAACTTTCGGCGGCGACTTTGGGCCGTCTACATTAACCGCGTCGCTCTCTACATGCCAGTCAACTCGTCGTCGCGCGACTTTCCTCCCTCTTCATTCGTCTCAGCCTTAGTAGTACACGCTCCTTCTCGTCTCTCCCTCGCCGGTGGATCGGCGGGTAGATCACCGACAAGAGTGCTGTGCTGTGCACTGTGCAGCACATACGACCAACCAGCCATCACGCTCCTTCTCGTTCGTGAGTCTTAGCTGCTCTCTCGTGCTCTTGCAATAAGTAGCCCGAGTCCTCCTCCCCTCCCCACCTCACACACAGCAACCATAACCAAACCAAACGTTCCAGTCCTTCTCTCACGGCTTCGTCACGTCTGCGCGCCCGTGCCTTCCCTAAACCCTGCTCCGCGCAATCTTAGCCTTCAAACCCTATACCGTTCGTCGTAACCCAGCAATTCTCCGTCCTGTTCCTCCCAACACACTGGTCGACGCTGATAGTGCGAGTCGACCCGCACGACGCTTCCCACGGCCAAGTAGCACGCACACGGCGGTCGACTCGACCCCACACCCTCATCAGCTGTAGCTGCCATCTGTTTGGCGACTAAGATCATCTCGATCATCTCGATCGTCTCGATCTCGATCATCTCGATCATCTCGATTGCCGAGGCGGGAGCGGTTTCTCTCAGTCACCGGCCGTAGCAATAGCAGCGTCCTCTAGTCAGCGCTCTGCCATGGCGTTCAGCGATCTCTGCGGGAGCAAAGTCGCACCGAACAGCGATAGCGACTCAGCAACACCAGCGGCTCCAGCGATATCAGCGACAGCATCTGCGACATGCGCGACACCTACAGCGACATCCAGCTTCGCCAAGGCCAATCGTCCGCACCTCCCCCCTTCCTTGAACGAAACCCGCCCGCTCAAGCGCTCCTCGTCCTCCCGCCGGACTTGCGCCCGCACCAGCAGCGGGCTCTTCCCCTCCGGGTTCGTTGCGCCTAAGGGCTTCTCGCCCGCCGCTCCCAGCGACGACGGAATGGGCGACGCCGCCGCTGCTGCGTTCCCCGCGTTTCCCGCGCACCGTGCGCCGGAAGCTGCGTGGTTGTTCGGTTTCACCGACTTAGATTCGCCGGCTTTGCCCTCACCGCCTGTCCGTTTCGATGTAGGGACAATCCTACCTTTCCCAGTTACTACCGCTGGCAGTAACTCTAGCCTGGCGTTCCGCTCGCCCGTCTGCCAGTGCGGCGGAGACTCCGCCACCTGCTGCTGCTGCGCTGCCTCCCCTCCCGCTTCCGCGCGTGACGATTGCGCCTGCGGGGGAAACGCCCCGCCAAGCTTCTCCGCCGCGTCTGACGCTGCTTCCTCTGGCGCAGAATGTGGTGATTCGGCAGTGACCCCCCCACTTACTCCTACCAGCGCATCCACTCAAGATATATCCCCCTTCCCTCACTCTAAAGCATTATACTCCTCAACAGCAGCACCTGATTCTGTACCACTGTTGCCTCCTTCTGCAGCAGCCAAAGTGGTTTCAGTTTCGCCACAAAGGCCTGCATACATAAGATCGTCTGATATTGTGACTACAAGCAACTGCCGCCGTGTTGTGGGCTTCAGCGCCCCCAGTAGCGGTGGCAACCGCAGCTAATGCATGCCTGCAACAGCCACATACTAAGAGCATGAGCGGGTCCCTCGGACCATGATACTTGCAGACAACCAAAACAGCAGCAGCAGCCTCAATCCCAGGAGTCTGCAGAGCAGTCTTCATAGAGCAGTCTGTCAAACATATTGTGTATATGTCTTATAGGCTAGATAGGTGCGTACTCTTAGAGGGTACAACCCCTTAGACAAAACCACCTTGTTTGCCTCATTCTAGTTATTGATTCTAACTTTGATATGGTATCACGCTAGGTTAGGTCCCCCCTACCCACCCACGCTTCTGCTTAGGCCTAGTCCTAGCCGCCCGTTCCTAGCCGCCTGTACCTAGCTTCCAGTCGCTAGCTGCCCGTTTCGAGCCGCCCGTATCTAGCCGCCCGTAGCTCCGCGCCTGCTGGACCCGAGTTCGCCGGCCCCGTGCCTCTAGCCCTGCATTTGCCAGCCCTGTGCCTGCTGGCCCCGCGCTCGCTAGCCCCGTGCCCGCCAACCCAGCGCCTGTCGGCCCTGCGCTCGCCAGACCCGCGCCTGCTGGCTCCGTGCCTGCTGGCCCCGCACCCGCTCGCCCGTGCTCACTGGCCCCGCTTTCGCCAGCCCCGCACCCGCCTGCCCTGTGCCCGCTAGCCCCGTGCCCGCCAGCCCCGCGCCCGCCAGCCCCATTTCCGTCGGCCCCACGCTCGCAACCCCCGTGCCTGATGGCCCTGCACCCGCTCGCCCGCGCTCGCTGGCCCCACTTTCGCCAGCCTTGCGCCCGCCACTCTCGTGCCCGCCAGCCCCGTGCCCGCCAGCCCCGCGCCCGCCACTCTCGTGCCCGCCAGCCCTGTGCCCGCCAGCCCCGCGCCCGCTGGCCCCGCGTTCGCCAGCTCCGCGCCCGCCAGCCCCGCGCCCACTGGCCCCGCGTTTGCAAGCTCCGCGCCCACCAGCCCTATGCCTGTCGGCCCCGTGCTCGCCAGCCCGCGATTGCTGGCCCCGCGCCTGCCGGCCCTGCACACGCTTGCCTCGTGCCTGCTGGCCCCGACTTCGCCAGCCTCTGTCCTCTGGCCCCTGCGCTCGCCAGCTCCGCACGCGCTGGCCCCGCGCCCACTGGCCCGTGCCGCAGTGTAGAGCCGCCATGTCGCCGTGCCGCGGTGCCACCATGCCGCAGTACTACCATGTCGCCATGCCGCTGTGTCGCCGTGCCATCGTGCTGCAGTGCCGCTGTTCAACCGTGCCGCTGTGTCGCCGTGGCGCTGTGCCGCCGTGTCATTGTGCCGTCGTGCCGCAGTGTAGCTGAACTCGTGGGATGGCGGACGCTGTGCTCCACCAGAACGCGGAGGGGCGGGCGATCGACCTCGAGGCGTGGCTCGTCGACCTTCGCCGTCACCTTACATGTCAGTGCCAGGACGGTCACTCCCTGGCTGTTCATCTCGATGGCCTCCTTCCCTGCCCCGTTGTGCCTGTTGCCCTCCCTGACACCCCCACCACTGCTGAGCATGAGGCCTTTTCTGCTGCTGCGCTTGCTCGCGCTGTCTACGAGTCGCGCGACGCCGTTGCGCAACTTGCTATTAGTTAAGCACTTCCCCTATCTGAGCGTCTCCGCTTTACCACTGTAGCAAACGCCTAGGAATTCTTAGATGCACTCATCGCACGCTATTCCACCCCCGTCTCAGCCTCTGCTGGCCACCTGATCCTTCCCATGTTGTTCCCTGATCTTGCGTTCTCCCACTGTCGCCGATCTTGCCACTAACCTCCGCGCACGTGAGACTAGCTACCGCGTCGCTAGCACTGAGGCTCAGCTCACTGCCTTTCCGCCACCGCTCTGCGCTACCCTTTACCTCCTTGCCACGCGCTTTTCGGACCGTTTGCCACTGCCCGCAACCACTTCCTTAGTCAGCACACGGGTGTACTCACCCTCCCCACCTTGGACACCGCCCTGTCTGCGATAGAGACCGGCCAGCGCACTATCGCTCGGTCTAGCAGTACCGCGTCGGTCCATATCTTTTAGGGTTGTGCTCCCTCTTAGTGCATTTACTCTGACGGCTCTGCCACTGCTGCTGAGACCGCCGCTGCGGCCTTCGCGCAGCCGCGTCCGTGTAGGGGCCGCCGTCCCAAGGAAGGGCGTGGCGGAGGGAACGGGGGTGGGGATGGGGTGGGTGGAGGAGGTGGGGGCGGGGACGGTGGTTCCGACAAGGGGATCGGGGCTGGTGCCTCGTAGCATCAGCAGCCGCAGCCTCAGCAGCTGCAGCTGCAGCAGACTCAGCAGCAGCAGCAGTCGCCGTGGGGACCCCCGCCGTGGTGTACTGGAGGCGCTAGTGGCGGTGGTCGTGGTGGTGGGGGGCGCGGCTCGGTGTCAAGTGGCAACTCCAGTGTGGTCACCTATCGGTACCAGTTTCAGACCGCCCCCCACCGCGGCACCGTCTGCGGCCGTTCCGGCCAAACCGCCGCCCGCTGCTACCGCCGCCTGGACGACCTCTTTCGTTACCGTTTGGGTCCCACGTCGGACCCTCCTGACTGCTACACCCTGGCTCGCCGCCGTGTGCCTGTCTTTGAGCTTGACATGGATCAGATTCGGATTGCTATGTCTGTCATGTATGCTGATCGCTCTAGTGTGATTGGAACCTATTACACGGTGTTGCCTAGAGTAGGTGTGTCCCCTATGCGTAGTCTAGGCCACCATGCTACGTCAGACGTAGGACCCCCTGCCTTGTTTAGCTTAGGTTCCACGCTAGCCCCTCCGCTGGCTGGCGCTACTGCCTCGCTCTCCTTTACGCTCGACTCTAACAAGTCCGCCTGCTTGTTTTGCAACCACACTACGCTTACGCCGCTTGTTGTCCCCGCCGATGTAGCGCTTGCTGACCCCTCCTCAGGTCCGGAAGTTGCCCGTAGTTCCACTACCTTTCGCTGTCCGGCTGTCCCCTTGGGCTCTATTATAGGCCTGCACATCCCTTCGTTCTTCAGGAACCTAGTTGGTGTCGACTGTCTTCAGGACGTCGGCGTCACCACTAGGTTCCCCAGACATGAGCGGTACGCGGTCTGTACCGAGGCCGCCACTAGTGCCCCTCTGACCACGTTCCCCCGGGACCCTGCGTCTGACCTGTTTACGCTTGACCCTGCGTCGTACGGCGTGATGCCCGATGGCAGAGAAGAATGCTCGAGGCGGTTCCGCACCCAGACCGCTTGCAGAGCAGCAAGATGCCACCAATGGTAAGGGGCACCCATGTGTAGAAGCGTAGTCCTTCGCCCTCAACGACAGTCCGCATTTCGCGTTCTGCCATCCCGTTCTGCTGCGGCGTGTAGGGACAAGTAAGATCGTGCTCGATTCCCCCCTCTTCGAGGAATTCTACGAAATGTCTGCCCAAAAATTCGCCTCCACGATCGGAGCGCAGAGCCTTCAGAGTTGCCTCGCATTGTCATTCTGCTCTGGGAAGCCATTTCCGAAAGACGAGCAACGCGTCACTCTTCTGCGCGATCGGGTAGACCCAGACGTAGCGTGTCTTGCGGTCTTTGAGCAGAAGAAAGCAGCGGCTGCCATCCTTAGCGGGAACTCGGAAGGGCCCGCAGAGATCGACGTGCACTACTCCCAGCACTTTCTTCTCGTCACTCCCTTCTGCAGGAGAACTTATCGAGCGAGTTTGCCACCGACGCAAGAGACACATGGCAGATCAGTGCTCTGCGTCTTCTCAATTTTCAAGCCCGTAACTGCTCCGTGCGCCGCAGTCCGCCGAATCGTCTCGACCCCAGCATGGGCCAGACGAGCATACCACACGTTTGTAGAAGAGCGCGCGTCAGTCGCCAATGTGCGCAGAGCAATTGCTTCTGCCGCAGGCTTCTGCCGCGGCCATGGCTGCAGATTGGTGCTGAGAACCCGGCCTTTGTATCGAGCTCGCCCGAGCAGAACATCGTCCGCAGAGAGCAAGATAGTTTCCTCGCTTAAGTCCTTCATCTTCACTCCACAGTCCTTCAGCTGACCGGCAGAAAGCAGATTGGCTTGGATTCCAGGGACGTAGAGGACATCTGGGACCAAAATCCTCTTCCCAGCCTCGCCAAGCAAAGCGATGGTTCCTCGTCCTCGAACAGCTTGGATGGCGCCATTAAATCCGCGAACTTGCTGGATTTCGCCGTCCTTGAGCATTTCTACGAAGGCCTTGTCATCTCCCATGAGGTGGTGCGAACATCCACTATCCAACAGAATGACCGCAGGGTTGGCTTCCACAGCAGCTGTGATCGCCTGGAAGTCTTCGCCATCCTCTGGATCCAACGAGATGGGCAGATCGTTTGTCTTCTGCTGTTCTACGATCGGCTCGACCATCGCACACGAGGGTCCTTTTCGATCAGCAGAACCAGAGCTCGCAGAAGAACCACCACTCTGCGCGCCAGAGAGTGGATTACTTTCCCGCTTCTGCGAATGATCAGCATTCCCCTTGCCTTTGCGATCTGGGCACTGAGCAGCGAAGTGACCGATTTCACTGCAGACAAAACATGGTTTATCCTTGTTCTTCTTGGCCAATTTCTTCTTGTCGTTGTGGCCGTCCTTCTGATCTGCGGCGAAGTTATTCGTAGAAGAAGCCCATCGCCTCTGCTGCTGCTGCCGAGGCGGTTGTCCCGTCGACGCCCAGTTCGATTGTGGCAGAGGAGACTCCTTGCACTGCTCGATCGCAAGGGTAGGTTCTTCCTCAACGATGTAGCTCGTCAGAGTGTTTTCGTAGAGGGTTTTCCGCACTTCCGGAAACTTGATCATGCGCCGTAGATAGCTGTACTGCGACGGCAGTCCCTTGACGACGTGCGTCACGTAGGAAGCCGTCGAGTACCGTACTCCGGTCATCCGCAGATTTGCCAGCAACTGCTGTGCTCGGGTGCAGTAGGCGGTAGCAGTCTCATACTCTGCCATCTCCAGACTTGCCAGACTCTGCTCCAACTGACCGATGTAGAGATCGTCAGTGGCCTTGTAAGTCTTCATGATGAAACGCCATGCTTGGTAGCCCGCATCTACTCGCAGACGACAACCCTTCAACGCCATCTTCACAGAAGGCGAGCAGCAGCGCGAGATCACCATGAATGTCAGTAGCTGGGCAGAGCGGAACTGCCCATACCGCGATGCATCCGACATAGGAGGGGCTTTCGTTGACCCGTCGACAAACCGCCTCAGTTGCGCAATCTCCAGCTGAGGTTCTATGGACTCGACCCACGACGCCAAGTCGTGTCGTCCCTCAAAGAGCCTTGGCACCACGATTTTGTCGGGAGAAAACTT